TCACGGCGGAAATATCGAGACTTCTCCACGCGGAATGTTACAAATATCTCTTTCTTGCCTATTGCCATACGAATCGTTTGACCATCTTCTACTCCAGCTGGAACTGGTACTGTTATTTTCTTACGTTGTACCTATAAAAATGTGATCAAAGCATATTAATTAATATAATATAGTGATGATAGACGAGATAGATAATCAAGTGATACATGAACAAAATTAAGAAATAGTTATGTACCGTTTGTCCTTTTGCGTTACATTCTGTGCAAGGGAACTTGATGTGTGTCCTCGTGCCTTGACAATACCGGCAAGTCGAACTCATTACAAAAGGTCCAGTGCTTATTGTTTCCATTCCAGTACCATTGCAATACTGGCATTTTACTGGCTTAGTTCCTAGTTCACAACGTGAACCACCGCATTTCGGACAAATGTCTACTACATTCACATTAATATCCTTATTCACACCTCTAGCGGCTTGGGAAAAGGTTAAATTCATTATCACCTGTAATAAGAGAAGTGTTATTTATATATTGCAATAATCAGGAAATATAAAGTCACATTTGGTCACCTCTTGAGCTGCTCCAAAACCATATTTTGATTCTGAAAAGTCTTCAAAATCATTAAAGGCCCCACTTTGGAATCCGGCATCGCCGAATATTTTTCTAAACAATTCCTCGGCATTAATGGTCGATCTATACTGCCAGTGCTGATTGTAACTCTTGGGTCTCTGACCCTGACCCATTCCCATACCCATTTGCTCCGAGGTTGCACCCCATGTATCATATTCTTTCCTCTTAGTATCATCGCTTAATACTTCATATGCTTCAGAAACTTCTTGAAATTTCTGATTGGCATCTGGATCTCTTTTATTCGTATCAGGATGATATTTTTTAGCAAGCTGATAATATGCCTTTTTTATATCTTTTGCTGAGGCATTCTTGGAAACACCCAGGATTTCGTAATAGTTACGTTTTAACAATCTACTTGTTAGATGTATGGCTCTATGTGGCTGCACTATTCTTCCTACGTCTGAAATGGGGATTTAGTTAATTAATTTAGATCAATCAATTATCAATA